ACTTAGTACTCCACACTCACGTTTTTAAGTCATCTTTGTAGCAGAAAAGGTAAATTAATAATGGATTTTAATGAGTACATATAACCAAGACTTACCTTTTTAATGACTTTTTACCACCTTCATTATTTGAAGTACTATGATCTGCTTGTGACTCATCTGTCGCTAATAAATAGTCGTATAACCCTCTGTTAAACTGATCGATAACATGAGAACGTGACTTGACTGGTAGCTCTGAATTTAACAGTGCTGCTCTAATTCCAAACTCTTCCAAAAATAAACGGAGCCTGAAAAAAGGACACTTGTAATGCATAACTTGTATACAATTGGTAAACTGGAATTCATTATGATTTTGAATTTTAAAAAACAATTTGCTGGAATTGTTCATTCTATAATAGATTCATTATTACTGACCGCTAAGATTCCGGAACTAAGTACTCAATATCACAGATAACAATGAAATACTGAACTTACATGATTTCCTGAGTGGACTTTACACCAAACTCATCATACAGATGTAATGTTGGGATAAATAATTAGTGAAAAATTTTTCAGTTAGTTTTCAACATATTACAGAAGACCATTAAAGACCTTGTATATAGACTAAATAAACCCACTCAGATATTAAATAAGAAAGATTGGTCCGGTGAAAAGTTCACTTTTCGGCGAATGCATTTTCAAAACTGTAGAATCGCAAATATATACTCATTCCTAAAAATAGTAATAATAATTATTATTATAGTAGTGATAATCAAACTCTGTTAAACATAGCAATAATAAGGTAAAATAAGCAAAGGCATTAAAACTTTATTTTTTGACCGGGAAACTAATAATAGTTTTGTCATTGTGGACTTGAACATTCCTGAAGCACTAGCCATGCATCTGGAAAAACCAGAATTATGTGTTCAAAAGTAACTGGCACAACCTCTTATTCTACCATAGTCTTAACCTCTCGTATTCTTCTTCCTTCACAGTTATTTGCTTCCTTTCTATCTTCTCTATAGACTAATATAACGGTTTTAAATATTTTTCTCTCAGTAATAATACGATAATAAGACTAGTCACGTTATATCAGACCCATATTCATGGCCCAGAGTAGATAACCAGAGTATAAACAGTCACTCTCAATCAGTCCGGAGTAGAAATCAACGAGAATAAAGGAAATCACATATTTAACAGTCCGTAGACTAAGTGCGTGTTATTCTGCGCTCGATGACCAGTCATATTTTATTGAATTCATGAACCGATCAATATTAGACCACCACTGAACACCTGGAAGCACTGGACAGCCGTTTTATCCTAGTATAGGACTCCTCAGCAGTGCGCATCCACGATCCCGATCACCAGTAACTAGATTCGAGAGGGAATTCTCCGAGTTCTAGTGAAGGTCCGCGACCAGTGGTATTCAACCGTGTCGCGTATGAAATAGTTATCCATGATTCCGCATGCAAGATTTGAACCTAGGACCTTCGGTTTCGCGCTCGAACGCTTAACCTCTAGGCCACTAACCTGGCATCCAACGGTATTAATATCTAACTTCAGTCAATACACGATGTCGCTCGGCCATCTAATGTCATCGGTGGGTAACTACTTTATACGCGACACGGTTGAATACCACTGGTCGCGGACCCTCACTAGAACTCGGAGAATTCCCTCTCGAATCTAGTTACTGGTGATCGGGATCGTGGATGCGCACTGCTGAGGAGTCCTATACTAGGATAAAACGGCTGTCCAGTGCTTCCAGGTGTTCAGTGGTGGTCTAATATTGATCGGTTCATGAATTCAATAAAATATGACTGGTCATCGAGCGCAGAATAACACGCACTTAGTCTACGGACTGTTAAATATGTGATTTCCTTTATTCTCGTTGATTTCTACTCCGGACTGATTGAGAGTGACTGTTTATACTCTGGTTATCTACTCTGGGCCATGAATATGGGTCTGATATAACGTGACTAGTCTTATTATCGTATTATTACTGAGAGAAAAATATTTAAAACCGTTATATTAGTCTATAGAGAAGATAGAAAGGAAGCAAATAACTGTGAAGGAAGAAGAATACGAGAGGTTAAGACTATGGTAGAATAAGAGGTTGTGCCAGTTACTTTTGAACACATAATTCTGGTTTTTCCAGATGCATGGCTAGTGCTTCAGGAATGTTCAAGTCCACAATGACAAAACTATTATTAGTTTCCCGGTCAAAAAATAAAGTTTTAATGCCTTTGCTTATTTTACCTTATTATTGCTATGTTTAACAGAATTTGATTATCACTACTATAATAATAATTATTATTACTATTTTTAAGAATGAGTATATATTTGCGATTCTACAGTTTTGAAAATGCATTCAGCGAACCAATCTTTCCTATTTTGTATACAACTCTATATGCACTAAGTGTAGTCATTCAAGGTGAACATGTTTGTTTATTTTGACTTAAAAGTTATCACCTACTGTCTAATTACTTTACTCTTACCAGATTCAGTTTAACTTAGTGAAATCCGATAACTGATTACAAATCCATAGATTCGGCTTTCGGTTACACGTCTTGTGTAAAGGCTAGTAATGTTATCACTTTTCTCGGACTACAGTAAGTAGAGTGGGAGATGAACTTGATTACCAACCTTTATATCAGAGATTTAAGCCCATATGGTCTACTTCTGTAAGGAAAATAGAAAAGCACCATCAGTAACGTAGAAAATTGGTCTACTGATACATAAGATCACTAAGCTAATAATTCCGCATTCTATGTTAATAATTGTTGCAATGCATATGCCAGAAGGGATTGATCAATCTCAGTTCTAAACATCAATGGAAAAACTTAAACAACTAGTACAAATGAAATAATAGTAATACGATATACGTCCTACAACATTAAAATTTTAAAACTTGTAACTATTGCTTTTTTACCACTTATACATTTTCTGGATCCCTTTTTGCTATGTTGGCTAAGACGCGTGATCCTTTGCAACTAATATTAACCCTCTATTCTACAAAAGAAAGTAGTTTTGCAACATAAGCTATAATACCAGCTTTTTTTGCACCAATACTTGTTAACTGATTTTTACTCATATTTGACCAAAAGTATCCGAGTATTTGAATAGCAACTGTTTTTTTTAATATTATTAAGAACTAGCATAAAAAGGTAAAGGAACAATTTTATCTGTATATGGTGTACAAAGCTTCTGGGAAAAACAGTAAATGAGTAATACATTACTATTCATAGTTTATATTTTAGAGCATTTAAAATAGATTACTTCACGATTCGATAGGAAAGTGAAACAGAGCTTACGAAACAACTATTTAAAGGATAATAATTTAATTAACTTACTTGTAACATCGGTCAACAGAGTTAGTGAAAATCAGTGTTTTTCCACGAACTATCCTCAATTTGAATAAAGCAATTAAAATGGCATATTTGTCCTCGTCTTCAGCACTTATAAAGAAGGGAACATATTAACGTGAATGTATACAAATTCACAGTATGAAAAGTTAATAAACAGTTTGAAACAAATAAGAAGCACTCGGCTTCGGTCAATACTTTTGTACATGGCATGTTTATGCGCACCAAATTGGTTAGATGCAGATAAAATTAATGTAAATTGTCATTACTTTGTACAGAAAAACATAATTACTCGTCATGGTGTACAACACCAAATAGGATTGATGTATATCACATCTTTTCTCTGAAACAAATGTGAGTAAACACGTGAATAAATATTTTTTACATACAAAATGTATCGGGTTATACTCATACATCACACAGATTTATTCTATTGCTAGTAATGTGTGATGTTTATTATCTAAATATAAGTTAACTCCGATTTAATGAAGACAATTTCAGGAAACAAATACTTGAAAAGCAACCATAAACGCGTTCCAGTGTATATAAAGGAAAAATAAAAACATTAGAATCAAACTGACGGCATACCTGATAATATATTGTGTTAGTTGGCTGTCTCCTGGTAAAAAAGCTTCATCGGGTAACTCTACACGAACCCAGTCAGCATTTTTCACCAAATACCGTCTTATGACTTTAGATGTGTCATCCAGAGTAGCAGACATCAAAATGGCCTGTGAAAAAAGCAAGAAATCATGTTACAATTTACTCCGGAAATATATCCCATGTAAGAAACTACTTGTTTGCTTATGCCTACACTTACGAATTCACTATCAAACGGAAACAAATGGCTACACTTACGGTAAGTACGATCATTAAGCTTTTTGCTTACCTAATTAATTCACGCTTAGAACTTTACAAATGTTCTGGGCTTTAAATATGTATTACCCAAACGACTTCAAAAAGCAAAGCTACATGGTTCTTTGGATTATTATATCGCAGGATAAACTAGCCGTAAGAGAGATCACTAAGACGCTAGAGATAAAGCTTTTAAACCACAGGATTTGTATGTAATACAAAACCAGATCTATACCGATCATGCAGTGTAGGTGGATAGTAGCACACATACGAAACAGCTAAGCAATACGAAAATCCCATAACTATTGTCAGACCATATAATGAACTAGATGATCCCTCATTCTAAATCATATAACCAAGAAATATGATAAGTATAAATACGTTTATTTTATTTTATTTTAACATAGATATTGGTACAAGGAGGCACAAAATACATATGCGCCACACAAATTTCAATTGATGTGTGTGAGGGGTGTGATACTGCACGGGTGCCCAAGCCGAAGCAGGTGGTTTACTTAGGGAGCTACACCTCGAGCCTTCGACCTAAAGGTCTGACCCACAGTCAGTCAGTCAGTCAGCTGCAACGTAGGACCAGGCACGTATATGCATCAGTCCAAGTTGCCATACCACATTAGCACAACAAGATGAACACCGGATTCATAGAAGTAGTTAATTCAGTGGTGGTAATATATAGAAGAAAGATTGCATATAAGGAGATAGTACAGGAAGACAGATGTTATATTTTCGCTCTTACGGTTATAACCCAGCTATTCCTATCGCTTAGTATTCACGGTCACAGATTCACTCGACAAGGCCCCAAATCAGAACACGATTGAGCAGGAAGATTATATTCCAAATAACAAGGTTAGGTGAAGCAAGAAGCAAGAAGCGAAATAGGAAAACCGTTAGTATATTTATAGCTTTTTACATAAGAAGAATCTAGAAGCTTCTCCATGTATAGACTAGCGCTGATTGGATAAAAATCAGCCAATCAGCGTGCGCCAAAGCAATCGTGCATTGAGCATGCTTAAATCCAATCTATGTCCCACTAACACCTCCCCTTTGAGCAGATTCGTAGGATCTGGTGCTAGGGTCCAACTGCAACCGAGTGACTGGCCTGTGCTTTCGATTTGTCCATCGTCTAGGCAATAAAGAAGTATCACTCTTTGCTTGCACAGAAACTGACCTGTCTGTTCCAGGCGTTTTGATTTCAAAGGTGTCTAGCAGAACATCAAGAGGTAATCGATATTGAATCTCGTTGCTGGCTATCGAAGTTGCTTTCAATTGGTTAGCATGACGTACCCAAACTTCTGAGCCAACTGACACCTCATAAACCACACTCCCCTTCTTTTTCAAGATCCGACCAGCTGTCCATGTAGGATGTTTCTCACGATAGTCCATAGCAAGTACTTTTTGTCCCACCGTGAACAATCGTTTTTGTGCCCCATGATGTCGATTGAACTGATTCTCCATAGATAGGTTTCGTTGAGGCTCAAGAGCTGGCGTAGGACGGATGACATCGAAATGTGTTCGTATTTTTCTGCCAAGTAGAGCTTCTGCTGGAGAGACCCCCTTAATCGTCTGAGGGTTCGGTGTCGAGCGATAAATAAGCAGGAACCTCTCTAAGATCTCTTCGGTGGTCCCCTCCCCTTTAGATTTTTTTAGAGCATTTTTAAATGTACTCACAAAGCGTTCCACTTGACCATTTGATTGGGGATGGAATGGAGGTGTTCGGACGTGATGGATTCCGTTCTGCCGACAAAATTGTGAGAAAATTACGGACGTAAACTGTGTTCCGTTGTCACTAACTATCAATTCCGGGACTCCGAAACGACTGAATAGTTGACGTAGCTTACTGACTGTGCAGCTTGCAGTCGGGTGTTCCATGAGAAAGATTTCTGGCCACTTGCTATATGCATCAACTACCAAAAGGTAAGTTTGTCCATGAAGTGGACCAGCAAAGTCCAAGTGTATACGCTGCCACGGTGACTGTGGTATTGGCCATGATTGCAGCTCTGCTTTCCGCGGTGCTTTCGTTGCTAATGCACATTTGGTACATGAACGGGATAGCTGCTCCAGTTGAGTGTCTAAATGCGGCCAGTATACATAACTTCGTGCTAATGCTTTCATGCGATTTATTCCAGGATGTCCTGCGTGCAACTGTTCAAGCACTGCTGGTTGTAGCTTCTTTGGGATTATGACACGTTCTGCAAACAGCAGGCAGTCGTCGATGATTGAGAGAGAGAGTCTACGCTGGTAAAACTGTTGAAGCTCTGTGGAACTGATCTTCGTGGGCCATCCTTCCAGGTGGAACTTTCTAACTTCTTGTAGAATCGGGTCTCGAAGAGTTTCTTCTCTGACTTCATCTGACGACACTGGAGTGTTTCGAATGGCATCTGCCACTATACTTCGTATTTCTGGGTCTACTGCTATGGAGGCAATGATTATATCCTCTGGTCCAGGATGCTGAACTCCAATTAATCGAGAGAGAGCGTCGGCTTGACCGATAGTATTTGTCGACTGATACTTGATATTGAAATCATAACTCAGGAGCATTGTTGCCCAGCGCTGTAGTCTATTAGCCGTATAGACAGGGATTCCTTTCTTAGAACCAAAGATTGCAATCAAAGGTTTGTGATCTGTCAGTAGAGTAAATGTACGACCATAGAGCATTTTATGAAATCTTTTGACAGCGAAAATGATCGCAAGAGCTTCCTTTTCAATTTGACTGTAGTTCCGCTCGGCTGGGGTAAGTGATCTAGCAGCATGGGCAATTGTCTTTTCTGATTTGTCCGGAAACACGTGAGATATTACTGCTCCAACTCCATGACTAGATGCATCAGATGCAACAACAATTTCCAAGCTGGGATCGAAGTGTGTCAAAAGAATCTTTGAGCTGAGCATTGATTTGACTCTGTCGAAAGATGCTTGACATTCTGCTGACCACTGCCAAGGTTTATCTTTTGATAGTAATTCATTCAGCGGACCTCTCACTCGATGCATTTCAGGCAAGAATGTGCTATAGTGACTGATTAACCCCAAGAAGGATCTTAATGAAGAGACATCAGTTGGTGCAGGCATCTTCTGAATGGCTTCGATGTTGGCAGGGTCTGGTCGGCGACCGTTCTTATCTAAGATAAAACCAAGGTATTTGATGGAATGCATAAAGAAAGTACACTTTTCCTCACGTAGTTGGAAACCATATTCCAACACTCGGTTAAGGACTTGATGTAGTCGATCAGAAAGTTCATTGTCAGTTGAACCCATAACTATGATATCATCTAGATAAGCTGCTGTACCAGGTATACCTGTTAGCATCGTATCCATTATTTGCTGAAAGATGGCAGGTGCAGTCTTGATGCCAAATGGTAGACGGGTGTATTGAAATAACCCTCGATGAGTGTTAATGGTCAAAAGCTCTCTACTGTCTTCATCTACTTCTACTTGTAGATAGGCATCGGAAAAGTCTATTTTCGCGAAACATGTCCCACCATTAAGTTTGGCAAACAGGTCTTCAGGAACTGGTAATGGATATTGATACACATCTAATGCAGCATTTAAACCGGTCGAGAAATCGGCACATATGCGTATAGTTCCATTCGCCTTCTTAATCACTACGATCGGTGCGGCCCATGCAGAGTAGTTGACTGGTTGAATTACACCAGCCTGTTGCAAGCGATTAAGTTCCTGATCGACTAACTCAAGAGCAGCATATGGTACAGGACGTCTAGGACGAAAAATAGGTTTGGCATCTGGTTTCAGTGGTAAATGAGCTTTCATCTTGGTACAGTGGCCAAGGCTATTCTGAAAAACAGAGGCAAACTTTCTTTTCAGTTTTTCTAGTAACCTTTCACATGTCTTCTTTGCAAGTACTGGGGTGTCTAATGATGAACACAATACGTTGCAGACACTGTTAATCGGTACATCCATTATTCCAAGTTTATCTAACATATCTAGACCAAGAAGATCAAGGTTTGGCCGTTCTGTTAGGTAACATATTCCTGTACAGTTAGTTCCATTGAAGGAAAATTCACACTGTAATTCACCAACCAGTTTTAGCACACCACCTGATGCGTTTTTGGCCGTTTTCTTAGATGGCTTCATTGGCGGTTTACCCAGCAAGTTATACGTTTCTCTAGATACTAAGGTGATATCTGATGCCGTGTCAATTTGAAGACGAGCTGATATGCCGTTTATCTGGATGGTAACATACTTTCTCCGAATGTCATAGTTTGTTTGAAAGGCAGCTACCAGAGAAAGAGATTTAAACTCGGCTGATTTCACATGTCGAGAACGTTTATGCTTCTTTTTGGGATGAGACGTACGATTCGGTGGACAATGACCTTCTTTATGTCCACGTTTGCTGCACACCTGACATATATGCTTTTTAAATGGACAGAATCGTACATAATGCCAATCACCACATAACCAGCATGCAGTCGTTGGTTTATTACGAGTTGTTATCGGCTTCTTAACTTTTAACCTAGTAATAGCATTGACACTACTGCAGGTTAAATTAGGATTTACCTGTTCAATCAACTTGTTGTCGTGTCTGATGCTTTGTAGCCGCTTACACTCATCTGTTAACGTTCTGAGTGTGACGTTTGGGTCTTGATCTAGTCGAGCCAAAAGTCTAGTCCTGATCTCAGCATCTTGTGGTGACTGAAGAGCTTTGATGAATATTAGGCATTTAAATTGGTCTTCTGTCAACGAGCGTAACTTGAACCGTTCACATTCTCTGTTGACGATGTCTGCTAAAACACCATATTCATCGGCTTCGCGTTTCACCAAATTTAGACACTGATGTCGAATACTAAACAATGAGGAGGATTCACCGAATATCTCTGACAATTGAATTATCGTCTCCTCGAAACTGAGCTCTCGAGGTAACTTAGGCAATATATGGTCAGCATAGCGTGCATGTTCATTAATTCCTAACTTACGTACCAACAGTCGAGTCTTCCACGCGTCGTCTTGGTTACAGAATTCTATTCTAAATGTATCTTCCCAACGTTTGAACCACGTGAGAAAAGTATTTCCGCTTTCGGGATCATAGATGAATTCTGGTATGCTGCTAGCAACTGCATCACAAGACGTACTTGAAATGGCATGTGAACTCGAGCAGTGGAAGCTAAGCTGTTGAGTCAGAGTCTCTAACAACCGCATTTGTGCATCTAATTGTTGTTGCTGTTGTTGTAGTATTCGGTTAAGCTGGTCGTCTGATATGGACATATTGAATTTATTTTCCTTTTTCCTCGTCGCCACTGTTATATTTTCGCTCTTACGGTTATAACCCAGCTATTCCTATCGCTTAGTATTCACGGTCACAGATTCACTCGACAAGGCCCCAAATCAGAACACGATTGAGCAGGAAGATTATATTCCAAATAACAAGGTTAGGTGAAGCAAGAAGCAAGAAGCGAAATAGGAAAACCGTTAGTATATTTATAGCTTTTTACATAAGAAGAATCTAGAAGCTTCTCCATGTATAGACTAGCGCTGATTGGATAAAAATCAGCCAATCAGCGTGCGCCAAAGCAATCGTGCATTGAGCATGCTTAAATCCAATCTATGTCCCACTAACAACAGAATTAGTTCGTAGAAAGAAAAATTTGAAGTGATTTTAATCTCTTAGTTTAAGGGAAGACAGAGAGTGTATACACCGACGCCATTGTGATCGATTCTGAGCCATGTCACCAAGAGTCTCCAACCATTGGTTACGATAGTCACGAGGACCCTAACCAGGCAGTCTGCATCTACCAACATGGCTCAAACCAGAAGTTAGTCACTTCAAGCACTGATGCCACGTTTTGGTTTGGCCGCCCCTAACTTTCTTCCAATCATCCCTAACACCGGTTAGCATTGCGCGCCGTCGTAATCGGTGTTCAGGCATACGCAACACGTAGCCCAACCATCTCAGTCGATGAACATTCATAACTTCATCAACTGATTTACCATCATCTAATACCCTACGTCTAACCTCACTATTACTTACCCGGTGATCCCAGCAGATACCCGCAATATCTTTAAGGTATCTGTGGTCAAATAATTGTAGCTTACGAGTATCTTCCACACTTAATGGCCATGTTTCGCAGCCGTATAGTAGAACCGAACGAACTGCCGCGCAGTATACTCGTCCCTTAATTGATAGACGGATATCTCGCCTTCGCCATAGATGACGTAAGTTGACAAAGGCCAAACGAGCTTTCCGAATCCGTGCTGAGATTTCGTCACACACCAACCCATTAGGGCTGATCAGACATCCAAGGTAAGTGAAGTTGTCGACGCGTTCGACTACTTCACTCCCTATCCTTAGTTCAGGTGTTGACGCAGGCCAGTCCTGAAGCAACAACTTGCATTTAGAGGGAGAAAAGCGCATCCCAAACATTCTGGCATTGTTGCTCAGTGCTACCAAAAGACTCTGCATTTTATCAGCGTCCTCACCAAACAGGACTATGTCATCTGCGTATTCTAAGTCGATAAGTGGACCCACAAGGCAGTGGAGCATCGTGAGGAGATGCAATCCCATGGTAGCCGGTGACCAACGATTGGTTCATACACCATTTGTTCCGTCAGGATACTGGAGCCAGCCCATGTGCACCATTGGTTTGGGGTCCGGTTAAAGCACCGGACATTCGCTTTTCGTCCTCTCATTTTCGTAAACAACACCCCCGCCACGAGAAGGCAGTGGATAGGACTTCCATGACAGAGGTTACATACGCGTGGCCATGTGAGAGCATTTCGAGAGGGAAAGCGGACTCTCCCCACTCTCGGCCGTACCAGGGCATTTGGAGGCCATGCGCATACACCCATTGTCAGAGTAGTCCTAATCACTGCCTTCTCATGGAAGGGGTTTGTTTACGAAATTGCGAGAGTAAAAAGAGAATGTCCAGAGCTTTAACTGGGCTGATGGATATGGAGGATCCGTATGGAGAAGTTGGAAAACCCTGATTCTAAACCAATGGTGCACAGGGGCTCCAGTATCTTAAGGAAACAAGTGGCGTGTGAACTTATTGTTGGTAACCGGCTACTATGGGACTGCATCTCCAAACGTTACTCCACTGCTTTGTGGACTAGACTTTAGGTCAAAGGTTAGGAAAGTAACCCCTCAAGAAAACTACCTGCTTCTGTTTGGGCACTCGAACAATGTCACAGCTCTCGTATCAAATGATTTATGTGGCATATATATATTTGGTGTCTCCTTGTACTAATTTTTGTGCTTAGATAAGCAAATAGTAAGTTCTAATAGGTTTTAAGAGTTAATAAATAACATCACTTCAAATGCCACACAACCTATTGCTGCCACCCATATCCGACTACGTATACACATGAGGATGCATCCCAAAAGTATAAAAAATTAAATCCGTACTTACTATCAAAACAAGTGAATTTCATTATATTAGATATTTTGTACAATAAGAACTTACTTGAATCTTTGGAGGAAGATAAGATCTCAGATCACGTATCTCAGCCTCATAACCAAATGTAAATATAAGGTCAGCCTCGTCTACGACGATGCACCGCAGATCCTTCAATGATAGAATGCCTGAACGTAAGACTTTCATTAGTCTAGACGGTGTTCCGATAATTATATCAGGGTTCTCTAATATGAGAGGCCTATACGAACACATGTCAATGAATTGATTTACTTTATTTGATCAATGTCATGACCAGTCGATATGTCAACCGATGAAATACTTTTAGCAGCATATTTACAAAGACATTTGATATTACTGGCAACTTGCGAGCATAACTCTTTTGTTGGAGCAAGAACAACGACTGAAGTGGATTGGCACAAAGCAAACTAAAAATGTTAAAAACCATCCGTTGCTACCTGTTTCTCCTGCAGGAGGTCATTTAGAATAGGAATCGCAAATGCAGCAGTCTTTCCAGATCCTGTTTTCGCGTGAACTATCAAACACTTTTTAGCGAAAACCAGTGGTATAACAGCCTGCTGTATGTCAGTAGGTTTTATCCAGTTCAAGTCAGAAATAGCCTGTGAAAACTTATACATGGTTAATTATTCCATCACCTTCAAGATTCTCTGGTCGAGGTTCAGCTGGTGAAACTCATCTACGCTTTCCATGCCCAAATATAACGCAACTTACAAACACCCTCTACAACGTCCAATAGATTCAGATTCAAAGGGTTCAAATAGTTGTGGACGGAATAGAAGAAGCTTTCGCCTAACGGGCTTCCGTGTCTAGTAGCAGTAGATTACTAATACCTCCAGGCAGGGACCATGCAACAAATCACAAGAGTACAACCGTGACGGTTTCATGTGGCAAGGACAAAAGGCCTATGGTCTATGTTATTCCTTTTCTAGTATGCTCCTATGAGTTTCTAGTCTTCTCTTGAATGAGTCAATCTAAGGTGAGGACACCACTGGTTCGGACAACAGGTTCCAAGAATTGATTACTCGGTGTGAAAACCTGGGTATTTTATTCATTCTTGGCTTTTCTACTCTCGTGTTATGTCCTCTGGATATCCCTATACGTTGGGGGTAAAATGAGAGGATATACTAAGTCCAAAATCATCCCTTAGTATTCTATACATCAAAATCAGATCGCCTCTTAATCTGAGTTTGAACAGAGTAAATAGGTTTGGCTTCTGAAACCACTTTCCGTATGACAAACCCCCCTGCAATTTTTCGTCTTCAGTCTCCAGTCTTCAGTAATAAGGATAGGAGGTCTATTGACCTATATTAATCCTTGAAGTTTGTAATACCGTGGAGGTCCAATATCGTTTTGAATATATCAATAGAAGGTGCTGATATTACGTGTTCCGGTAGAGAATTCCAATAAATCACTACTCGCTGCGAGAAACGAAACTCCAGGCGTAAACGATTTGACCTCAGCTTCTGAACTTTTTTCGAGTGTCCTCTCAAATGATCAGTGCTAGAAGGAAGTAAAAGATGAGACATAATAATACCAGGATATGAGAGACACCTTTTGATCAAGAGCTCGCAGGGCTGGCAATGCTTCTTCTTTGGGACTGTCCAGGGAATATGTATGCTTGAAATGGGTCCATGCCTCTTCTACTAATACCCCTGAGTAAATCATCCAGTTTTCAGTCTATGCCTCAGAGTTGACAACTTTCATATCTGCCTTCCATAGCTAGGACGGGTTGGCGCAACTGTTTGACGTCCTCTCAGCCATGAACTTGGATGAGATGACCGTTTGATCCATTCTTTGTAGGGGTGGGAGGGAAGTTACTTAACTAACGTTATCACCGTGTACAAAAATTAGGTTCAAGTTATATCTGATGGGTTCTTTAATGTGCCGGAATAAAGCCAGGGAGATTGTGGTTTCTAAAGTTTTAAGATCAAATGATTACCCTACTTCTCAGTTTACCCTATTTATATACACTGCCATAAAGTCGCCTATTATGAGGCTATTACCTCTATTTGATCAGAACTTAAATTTGCTTAAGAGGAAATCATCTGCCCCACGTTCTTGACTGCTGTATACCAAAACTAATTCAATATCTTGCCGTTTACACTTCAAATTGAAACGCACCACTTCACATGGCTCTAAGTTGTGTGTCAATGTCTCGAGAGCTCGTATGGTTTAGGAGTCTTTCATAAACATGATAACACCACCACCTCTTCGGTCTTCTGTGTCTACCACTGTTTTGAGCTCCTCAATTTTATTTTCAGGCTGAGAGAATTATTATAGCACACCTTTGATTCTATGAAGGACTTTGCCTCACCACATAGAATGGTTTGAGAATCGTATTGCTCTCTTAATACGGTCAACTAGGCTGAGATCCTCACAGATGTATATACCGAATCCAATAAGTTTGAGAGGGTTTCCCAGTATTAGACTTCTTTCTTCAGCCAAAGTATTGGTAACTTTTAAGAAGTGGTTTTTCCGAATACATTCAGGGCCCGCTTTTTGTCCTTTTCTACAAAGATTATAGATGTTGACACTTGCTACTGGTTCTGGAAGTAGCGCTGCAGAATGGACGTTACTTTCAGGCTGAGGCCTTCAGTTATCTTTTCACAGGATTTCAACAGAGCTGCATGAATTATTTTTTCTTGGAATTACGGAAGATAACTCAATCCTGAACCATTTACACATAAACTGTTAATTTTATACTCTATAATAAGATTTCAGTTTAACATATTCATGGTATATATGATCATGTTCACATAATAATTCATAATCGTATAATTACAAATTCATTTTGACTATCCAACAGAACCATGCTCTATCATTTTTAAACTACATATAATCATATTTGAATTGCATTCCATATTTGCATTGTATTCCTTATATCGTGTTTGGATGCTATAACTTACGTACTTTATGTATTTACAGGATCTATTCAAACCTATACATGGCATTTAAAAAATACATAATAGTGTGTGACAAAGCACTATACACGCTATTTCATATGCTTTCCTCTAAATCGTATTTGGATAGTTTAACACTATAACACGCCTGTACAATTCGGTGAGTCTGTCGCAGTTCATGGTCAGTAATTTTATCCGAAAATCTGCCTCATATATTTCGGCATAAAGCATTATAATAACCTTAGATGGCAATAATCTTTAAGACTACTTATCTCTGCACTCCTAGTCCTAATTAAAACAGGTTTTCAGTTTATATATGTTCCGCATCCCCCACCCACATTGATTGTTTGATACTAATTATCGACATTTCTAAATTGCACCATCATATAAAGCTAACTTTCCGTGTAATGTCTATGTTAAAATTTACACAATATGCGGCTTTATGTTCTATTTTACCTCCACAAATGTACTGACATACATACTACATCTCTACTGAGATTTTCTGCCATTCTTCCGTCTTGTTTTTGACACCTTCACTAATCCTCATGATACATCCACTATTGTTTCAGACATAGGTTTTCATTTTTAGATTGACTTGATCCCTCGGCCTTGATTTTTTCACCCATTTCTATTTCCAACACTTTTTTCAATCTAACTGCTACTTATAACTTTCTTATCATGTCACAAAAAACGAAGGCCCTTGCTTCCGCCCCCAAAAGCCTTGGTACGGCCGAGAGTGGGGAGTCTGCTCTCCCTCTCGAAATGCTCTCACATGGTCACGCGTATATAGCCTCTGTCATGGAAGTCCTATCCACTGCCTTCTCGTGGCGGGGGTGTTGTTTACGAAAATGAGAGGACGAAAAGCGAATGTCCGGTGCTTTAACCGGACCCCAAACCAATGGTGCACATGGGCTGGCTCCAGTATCCTGACGGAACAAATGGTGTATGAACCAATCGTTGGTCACCGGCTACCATGGGACTGCATCTCCTTACGATGCTCCACTGCCTTGTGTATCAGACGTTCAGGTCGAAGGCTCGGGGTGTGGCCCCCTAAGAAAACCACCTGCTTCGGTCTGGGCATCCGGGCAGTATCACAGCCCTCACACATATCAAATGAGATTTGTGTGGCGCATATGTATTTGGTACCTCCTTGTACCAATATCTGTGTTAAAATAAATAAATAACTTCTAGGCGTCCAGCAAAATGTAGGAAAATAACAATGTAACACTACTACCGACACGATTTCCGACAGCTTCAATGGAACGAGCTACTTTGTTCGTTTGCAGACAAGCTTATAGCAGTTGTCTCCATTGCAAACATCTAGTAATGCAGTTGTGTTTAGTATACCGGACACATCCGCCCTCCTTAGAGCGAGCAATATGACACATGTACCATGTGTGTGCACAAGATTAAAAAGAAGTAACTCTGGTAATCTGAGCTGTACGATTTGGTCATAGAGCTTCCATTGTTATTCTGAACGACATCATCCGCCCCTGAAGATTGTACTGATGATAGGAAATATAATGACCACACGAAATAATGAAGTGAATGAATACTTGAGTTCTGTTGTTTTGACACATGCTTTTAACTGACCGACCTTAGTCGTTACAAGCTAACAGAGAAAACTTCGCGAAACCAACAGAAACGGAAAATATTTATAGAGTGGGTTTTTCTAAAGCCCTAAAAGTTGTAGACACTGAAGACAAATCAATTAAGAATAAAAGCTCTTATACTTTGGGACACAATCAAAAATAAGGGATTTACCACCGCCTTTTTTGAAAAGCGCTCTATCAGAGGTCGTAGGCCCTCAAAATTAGGTCATTCTGTTGTCAGAAATCCTTTCCCACCCAACTGTTTAATTCCCAATGAGATCAAAATTCATTAATGACGGGGTATGAACGCACACTTGAATTGTAAATCGAGTGCATAAATTTGAAGCTGATTAGTTGCCACAGTGAAACAGAGTTCCTGAACTTGACATGACCCACATGCTTGAACGGATGCATTCAGCTAGTAGTGTTCCCAGTGGAATTGACCTGGGTAAAAAACATTTTCTTGTAATTGATTATAGGCGATTAAGGTTCAAGAACTAAGCAATATGAACTGAATAAGACTGGCATTTAGAACAAAAAGTACAGTTTTATTTCTGAGAAATGATTTAGTTTTATATAAGAGTTTGTTTAAGTGAACGACACGTTGCCACCTCTTTGAATGTATCGTTCCGTTTGTAGTTAAGATGTTGGACTTTTTCGTGATCATTACAAAAGGCGGGATTCGTTTATGGTGTTTCCCCGGATCAATAGATATGTTCAGGTTATCAATAAATACATTCCTCAAATCCCTCATATTAGAGGTTAGTTTTGTGTGATTTAAAGAATCATGTTCTATAGGAGAATGCTGGTCGCTCGCCTTTTGTTTGCGACTCTAGGGCTATGAAATTTTATATGGATAATGAATTCAATCTGTTATTTGTTGTAAGTTGTGTTGACAAAGTGACTCTTTCAGGCCGCATATCAAAATGTTCTTCAATTAAACTATGTGGATAAGTTTTTGACAGACATAGCTCTGGAATTTAGGGATAAGTACAAGAACAAACTAGTTAACCATGACATAATTGGATCTTACGAAGAATTTTTGCCTATTTATCAAGCTACTCTGAAGCGTACTGAAGACGAGTTTCGGGACCTTCGTAAAAGTGCCAAGTAAACTCAGTTTTTGATTCATATAGCTTTGTAGACAGATGCGGAAGTTTGAGGATTCTGATAAGTCAAAAAAGACTGTCGCCTCTATGATTGTCCGAAAGGGTAAGAATTCCGAGTGTGATGTGAAAGAAATTCCTGTCGCCCAAAAGCAAAGTCTTGTTTCTGAACCCAAAGTGGAAGGTATTTTCGCTCTGAAATTATCACAATATTCTTAGAAACTCCAGTAAATGGCATCGACACTTTTGAACAAAATAGACTTCGACTGGCTGCTAAGTTTAAGGGATCAAAAAAAAGTAAAGAATCAAAAAGGTAAGTCTCTTGGGCATTGGTATTGTTGCTTCGGTTTTATTAATTAGTCATCTAAAAGGCACGACAAAAAATAGGAAGATAGACCTTAAATACTTCCCTAAAACTTGATTGTAATATTAGTAGTATACGCTCCCGTACTTTTGGTTTTCGACTTGTATTTAGATTTTGTCTTGATCTCAGCTTGAAATTGTCCATTCTGGTGTTTATTTTTATTCACATTCTCCCCTATTACGAAATATAGCATCTCATACTGTTGTACTCTTACTGAACCCTTTGCTATGCCGACTTTCCTTGATATTATTCAGTCTGGTAATCCCAGGTTTTACGTAGTTGCCGAAGTTTTATGTTACGTAAACGCGATTACTTCTGCATGTTTTCTGCATTCTCTGCCTACTGCATGCTATTTTCTTCTAATATTTCACATTGCTCCACTTGAGTTACAACCTTCTTTCGCAATATAACCACTGTCCGATGAAATTATACCTCATTCACACGTTACTAGGAAACCCAACTATTCAATAAAAAGGAAGAATGTATTTGTAAAATCTCAGAGAATGAATTTGAAGTAAATCCAACATTTCGCCTGGCAATCAGGTCCAAGCTTTTTCAAGGAATTTTAATTAAACATCAAAATTATCGAATATGAATAGGTATATGGTTCTGTGGTTCACTATATACTAAATAGAGCATCCAATCAACGTTAACGTTTAAATTATGTATTTGCTTTGGTTTGTAAGAGACATGTAGTGTGAAACTAAGTGTTAAGATAACAGATTGTGTGTATACGTAAGTGGTGTGAGAAGAAATTTCATTCACTACATATTGTCCCTAGTCGGCAAATTTTAAGAAACATACAATTTTTGTGTATGATATGAATCAATATACGCGTGGCCATGTTAGAGCATTTCGAGAGGGAGAGCGGACTCTCGACCGTACCAGGGCATTTGGGGGCACATCATCAGTATATATGTATGTTAATCATTCCCAATTACTGATTCCATATTTATTTTATTAGTACTAAACATGTTTCCTTATGTTCATCTAGCCCTTCATTGTCACCTATGCAAAAACCTAATGGTAAAAAAATCAAAGAAAGCCGTCGGTGGGATAATTCAGCAACTGGTGAGGAGGCAGCAGCTTTGGATTTTAGTATTATGAATCATACAGAGTCAACAGGAAACCAAAAAGCTGATTATAACTTTTCTGCCACGGAAATAGAAACGCTATCTCGTCTCCGTGGGACAATGAAAGATGATTTAGATGAAGTTGATGTCTCTTCAGGTGATGAAGACCTAGATGATCTAGAGCTTAAAGAGAATGAATCAGTTGAACAGAATGGTTTACCAACCGACTCTCAATTTCAAAAGAGTTCACCTGATAATAAACAAACAAAGGTTCGTCAATCTACTTAGACTGATTCAGTCCTCTTTTATTTATTTAGTGTCTAATTTTATGTTCTAATATATACTTGTATTATTTAAATTTGAATGATGAATAAAGAAATAAACCTACCAGCCTATTTGGTTGTGTAGATCTTTACGAATCATCGATTTAAAAAACGTCTGAAATCTTAAAAGATCAGAAAATTGTGTGTATTTTTTTCTTTTATTATAATAGTCAGGTTATCTCAATGGTGGCTTTGCCTCAAGTTTATTGCGTGGTTTACGCATTACTGGTGGTTCTGGGCGTGTTTTAACTCGAGAAGATATTACACCTTGTCTTGAACAACTTAGAGAACGTCTTGTTGGTAAAAATGTTGCTATGTCAATCGCTGATAGAGTTTGTTCGAACGTTGCTGATCGTCTTGTTGGCACATCACTTGGAACATTTGAAAGAATTTACCCTCGTGTCCGAGCTAGTTTGGAAGAAGTTTGTTCTCGAATTTTAGTTTCTGGTCGCCGCGTAGATGTTCTTCGTGATGCACTGGATGCGCGTACTCAAGGAAGACCATACAGTATTGTTTTCTGTGGTGTTAATGGTGTTGGAAAATCGACAAATCTGGCAAAGGTATGTCATTTAACGAAGTTATCTAACGTAATAACTAACAAGTCACTAACCGAGTACAGATTCGTGCACTGTGCTTTCGTTCACAGTTTTTGTATAGACCACTTATACCACCCACGTATCTAAACGAGAACAGCTGGAACAGGATACGAACCTACCTACAAACCGATTATTAAAAACTAAATGATTTAATCGCCAAGCTACTTATCTACCGTGCAAGTAATGCTTTCTCATTATTTTAGAGTAGTACTATCACTCGATTTGTGAGTGAAAAGAATGGTATGTAGAGAAGAATATTCTATGAATATAAGGTTTGTTAAAGTACATATATTCAGACTATGTGTATAACTACTCATGAGATAAATTAATGATCTGCAGAATATACTTTTTCTGTGGGATGATTTGATGCCTTATATCAAGAGTCTAAAAATCCCCTTATGTTTTTTATCCTCTTTTTAGACTTGATCTTTTCTACTACCGATATTGTTACTACTTCTACTAATCTCGGGATTGGCTTGATAATTTTATCTCTCTACGCTAACGTGGTGTGGTAACTTGAACCATTGTACGTATGTTCTAAGTTCCCCGTTACATATGACTGGTTGAATTTAACATAAATCACTGAACTCTAACTTATAATAAGTAGGACCTGACAGAAATATTTAGTTGCTCAAGATATCATATCACATCAGTATAACAAGAACTTATCTAAAGAAGACATAGTTTAGGAGTTGATATACTTAGTATCAATGAATATAAAAATTAAATATTGTGACATAGTATTGAAATGCATAATTTAGTGGAAAATAAATAGTTAAAACACCTGCATTACTCTGTGATTGATTTTAAACATTGTCACCTAACGTTTCCCAAACGACTGATTGTAATTATTGTCATACCCTGATCAACACCGCTTAGATCAACAGTCAATAATTTTCGACTTTAAATAAAATTATGAAGGGTAAATGTACTTACTCTTTCTGGCTTCTATGATAGATGTTTATTTACTATTCTAACCAGTTTCTTCGATGAATATATACAGTCTTATCAATTGTTTGATTTACCATTTTAAATTGTTTTACAACTACATTATTCCATGCCAATAGTGTCACTTATAATAATCAATACATTGTTCTAAATAGTATGACGGATATTGGGCCCAAAATATAGGGAAGACATTATTTATGAAAATTATACTTAAAATAATCTCCGCAATTGAAAGCTATATAATTCCAACATCTCATCCAGAAAATTTATCTAGAGTTCTTTAGACTAATAATCAAAATCAAATTATCAAAGAAATATATCATGTTTAACAATCAAATAAAATGTTGACTGTGCTTATCCAATCATACTCAGATGTTGACTTTGTCGGTGGGAAAACTTGGGTCAGTAGTATTAGTATCATTACAGAAATGGAAGACCAACAAACTAAATTGAATGTAATATTGTCTACATTTAGGGCAAACAATTAGCCTAAATGGTTTTTAGATTATCATATTTACTTAAACACAAATATTAGTACAAGAGTGCACCAAATATATATACGCCACCCTTCACCATTCGATTTGTATGAGGTCTGGGATACTGCCAGGATGCCCAAACTGAAGCAGGTAGTTTTCTTAGGGGGCCACTTTCCTAACCGTTGACCTAGAGGTCTAGTCCACAAGGCAGTGGAGTAACGTTAGGAGGTGCAGTCCCCATGGTAGCCGATGATCATCGACAGGTCCATACACCATTTTTCCCTTTACAGTTCTGGAGCCCATGTGCACCGTTGGTTTGGAATCAGGGTTTTCTAACTCCTTTATGTGGACCCTCCATGTCCACCAACCCAGTTAAAGAGTTGGACATTTTCTTGGAAGAAATGAAAGAAAAACCAAATCAGTGTGTGTACCGAAGGAATGGGATAACATCATGATCATCCCGTACCGTATGGAAACATTAGAAGGAATTAAGAAAATTCTAGACGAACATGATATAAGTGTATTTTCGGGCCAGTGATACCATAAGATCAGCATTATTTAAAGTTAAGGATAAGTTTCCAAAGAAGAACAACAGAATGTTATCTATGAGATCAGTAGTCATGATTGTAATACAACTTATGTCAAAGAAACATCCAGACAGTTGAACATAAAGTTGAAGGAACACAAGTAATGTTCAAAACATGTTACAAAATCTTCGGTTTATTTTAAGTAAATTAAAAATAGGTCAGTGGTAGTGTTAAATGAGTCGGAATCAGGACACATGATTGATTGCAAAGTGGCCAAAATAATCCAGAAAGGGTTTTGTATGTATAAAAAGGATTGACGGAAAAAGCTTTATATTTTTTGGGTTAATAAGAACAGCCTAAACAGAAAAGATGGTATTCAACTAGCCACCTTTTTGGCAAATGATCATGTAAAAATAAATTAACTCCTATAATCAACTATTAATAACCCAAACTTACACATACACAATCACTCATTTATTGTCACAATATTAACTTTCCACATGATTCACATATAAAACTAACTCATGTTATATCCTACTTTCTAAAGTCAACATCTGAATATGATTGAATAAGTACAATAAAGATTTGATTTTGATTATTACCCTGAAGAAGTCCAGACAAATTTTATGAACAAGATGTTGGAATTATTTAAGTTTCAATTGCTGAAATTATTTTAAATCTAATTTTCACAAATAATGTTTTCAAGATTTTTACTGACAATAGAATTGTATTAAACTGTTCATACATAAAACTAATAATCATAATGGTATTTCACTTTTGCTATAGATCGCTTTTTGGCTTATCGAGAAGAATTTCCGTGTCCTTATAGCTGCCTGTGATACTTTTCGATCTGGTGCTGTTGAACAGCTGCGTACACATGTACGTAAATTAAATTACATTCATCCAGCTGATCAGCATGGTGGTCAAACTATGGTTGAGCTGTATGAGCAAGGATATGGTCGTGATGCAGCCTCAATAGCTCGTTCTGCAATTAACTATGGTATAAAGTGTATTTTTACATTGAACATTATGAATATACGTCTAATTGTTTTAAATCTATGATAAGCGTTTATTTTATTCAAGAAAATGTCACATTCTACTTGACAATTGTTGAATATGATTGTTTGAATAGGAGCTTATAAAGTGAAATCGTTCTTCAATTTCTCAAACTAGTTAAGTGTTGTGCCGAATTCTAGCTCCAATTTCACTATATACCTGCTTTTTTTCCGAATAAAATATAATTTTGGTGGTTTATCTGTAGTTAAGTGATTCGAACAAGTTACTTTCTATCACTAGATATCAAGTCTGATTTCCATTCTAGCTTTCATTCATCCAGATTGTAAATGTAGTCATTACACATTAGACAGGATTCAAAAATCACTGCAAAAGTCAGTAATTGATCATTAAACTTTCATTGTGTTCATTCGTATCATCCCTATTGGAATATTGATGTGTTTATAATTTTTAGTCGTTGGTGTAATAGCTGCGGACCATTAGTCTCAATCAGAATGGATACTCACTAAGCTACCGAATTTTAATCTGTTGTATATCGAATGATTTGATTGTCATATCACAGCAACCTTTCGATCGTGTAATTAGTAACTGATTCAAGCTCACAAAATATCATCTTTGAACCCCTGAAACTGCGTTTTAAACTGTATACTGTAGCTCTTAATGTTGAAAAACTGTATAATCAAATCGACTGGTAAAACTACTTATCCTGTTTTACTGTACTTTTTGAGGGGATCTAAAGTATTCCTCGAAAAAGTTCAGAGGGGCCCTGAAAAATCTTAGAAACATTTTATTCAATCAGCATTGAATAGATGTTTTTCAGAAATATCGAGGAAGTGAAGCGTCACATATCACAGTTCTGATTGGATGATTACTTATCTTACTATTATGTTCAGTATGGTTCCGGAATTTACCAGAAATCTAACGCCATCTAAAATACCATAAATACTCTCGGTTTCTGTACACAAAACTAACCTTAGAGTAAAGCGTTCTTTTCACGCTGCACCTTTTCTCTCGTGTTCATGTCGTCATGTAGATTTAGCCTGTGGTGATTAGAAGAGCTTATGAAACCCACTCAAGCGTTCAGTAAGAAAAAAATTCAACATTAGTTGTTCCTTTGTATTGCCTGATTAACTCCCATTACATACATTCAGCTCAAACCATATGTATAATCGGGTTATGCTTGAAACATACATATGTACATTATAAATTTTAAATTACTTAATAATTGTTTTTTTGTCTTTCTTAATAGCCCGTGATCGACACTTTGATGTTGTACTTGTGGACACAGCTGGGCGTATGCAAGACAATGAGCCATTAATGCGTGCTTTAGCTTCGGTAAGTCACATATTTTTTTTAGAAATTAAACTATTCTTATAGCTTACAGATTTATAGTCGTATTAATTCAGTGAGATATCAAATTAAAGCCTAGTACAAATGAGGGTTAGCCAAAGTCGCTTTACCGTACCAGGACAACAAGATCAAATAAACAAGATGATAATAATCTTGCCTTCGGTTTAGACTCGATCATGTTACATGCTTCGGTCTCATTCGTCTCACCATAATTCTGCCCTCACTAATAAATACATAAGTTTAGATAACTGACTAGTATCTACAGTACATGGCACAAATCCATGAAGTCACTGACAAGTGGACTGAGCCATTTTGGTAGGTGTAGATTACCTGGTTGGGGACCGCCACATATTCACCATTCGTCAAGTTCTAGAACACAGGCATACTTATCGGCGTCCGACAATAGTGGTCTTCCTTGATTTAAAAGCAGTGTTTGACTCTGTTGACCGAGAGGTTCTGTGGCAATGTCTGTCATTGAAAGGCGTACCTCAGAAGTACATAAACCTTGTGAAGGCTCTTTAATCGAACACCACTAGTCGAGTCAGAACTTATGGCGAACTGTCATCTGCTTTCGCGACCTCAAGTGGCGTCCGTCAAGGCTGTCCACTTTCTCCATTTTTGTTTAACTTTATCATAGACATCCTGATGGAAATAACGCTCTCATCGACTGACTTCTCGGGTATTGATCTCCTACCAGGAGGTCCACTTATTGACTTAGAATACGCAGATGACATAGTCCTGTTTGGTGAAGACGCTGATAAAATGCAGAGTCTTTTGGTAGCACTGAGCAACAATGCCACAATGTTTGGGATGCGCTTCTCTCCCTCTAAATGCAAGTTGTTGCTTCAGGACTGGCCTGTGTCAACACCTGAACTAAGGATAGGGAGTGAAGTAGTCGAACGCGTCGACAACTTCACTTATCTTGGAAGTCTGATCAGCCCTAATGGGTTGGTGTGTGACGAAATCTCAGCACGGATTCGAAAAGCTCGTTTGGCCTTTGCCAACTTACGTCACCTATGGCGCAGGCGAGATATCCGTCTATCAATTAAGGGACGAGTATACTGCGCAGCAGTTCGTTCGGTTCTACTATACGGCTGCGAAACATGGCCATTAAGAGTGGAAGATACTCGTAAGCTACAAGTATTTGACCACAGATGCCTTAGAGATATTGCTGGTATCTGTTGGGATCACCGGGTAAGTAATAGTGAGGTTAGACGCAGGGTATTAGGGAATGATGGTAAATCAGTTGATGAAGTTATGAATGTTCATCGACTGAGATGGTTGGGCCACGTGTTGCGTATGCCTGAACACCGATTACGACGGCGCGCAATGCTAACCGGTGTTAGGGATGATTGGAAGAAAGTTAGGGGCGGCCAAACCAAAACGTGGCATCAGTGCTTGAAGTGACTAACTTCTGGTTTGAGCCATGTTGGTAGATGCAGACTGCCTGGTTGGGGTCCGCGTGACTATCGTAACCAATGGTTGGAGACTCTTGGTGACATGGCCCAGAATCGATCACAATGGCGTCGGTGTATACACTCTCTGTCTTCCCTTAAACTAAGAGATTAAAATCACTTCAAATCTTTCTTTCTACGAACTAATCCTGTCTTCCTGTACTATCTCCTTATATGCAATCTTTCTTCTATATATTACCATCACTGAATTAACTACTTCTATGAATCCGGTGTTCATCCTGTTGTGCTAATGTGGTATGGCAACTTGGACCGATGCATATACGTGCCTGGTCCTACGTTGCAGCTGACTGACTGACTGACTGACTGGGGACCGCGAGATGATAGCAACCGATGGCTAGAGACCTTGAATGACATGGCTGAAAATCGTTTGCAATGGCTCAGGTGCATCCACTCTCTGTGTTCTCTCAAACTCTAATCCTCTGAATTCTTCATCTCTTTTATTTTTTTCCAAATCTATCCCACTGGATTATACTCCTTAAATAACATCATCAAACCTTAATATTCCCTATTACTACTTATACTTTCACTACCACTACCACTACGGGATTTGAATCGATAACTGAATCTCTGTGCTTATGTGGTATGGCAACTCGAACTGATGTACGTACGTACGTACGAAGTTCCACGTTGTTACTGACTGAGTAACTACAGTGTTTCTCATTACTATTAATATGACTCATATCCTAAATAAGGTTAAAAATATTTTTGGGTTATACAATCTTGAAATCAGGTGACCATTTCCACTTATCGTTTTACGGCAAAGGTATTTTCTATGCAGTAACCTATTTACATCCGGTGCTTACTTGCTTGCCTAACAACAACACCTACCAACAGTCCCGTAACCTTCTCTATCTTGGGTTATCTTCTCTGGTTGTTACCAAGTTCTATCCACTTTTAGATATATGCCTCCCATTCCTGGCGAGATGTGTTCTTCGGTCTTCTTTTTTTCCTCTTGCCTTGAGGATTCAAATTTAAGGCTTACCTTGCTATGCAGTTTGATGATTTCCGTAAAGTTTGACCTATCCACCTCCGTCTTTTTCTAATTTTCTATCCAGATAGAAGATAATTTGTTCTCTGTCACAGTAGATTGTTACTGGTAGTATCTGGTCAACGGATATGAAGTATCTTGCATAAATAGCTGTTTATAAATACATGTACCTTTTTGATGCTGGTTGTAGTAGTTTACAACTGACTCATCACTGGGTGGCGATCAATGTCATGTGTTCTATCTTAGTGCAGATCGAATTCAGTCTACCAAGTTGCAACATGGCCACTAGTCTAGGTGACTCGACATCACGTGCACTATGTTCAGATTTATTTATTTGTCTGAACACATAAGTATTGGTACAAGGGAGTGCCAAATTCATATGCGCCACACAATAACACTTAGGTAAGTAGTAGTTACCATCGATTTGTCTGAGGTCTGGGATACTGCCCGGGTGCCCAGACCGAAGCAGGTGGTTTGCTTAGGGGGCCACTCCTGGAGCCTTCGACCTAAAGGTCTAATGCACAAGGCAGTAGAGCAACGTCAGGAGATGCAGTCCCATAATAGCCGATGATCAACAATAGGTCCATACACCTTTTTTTCTCTTCACAATTCTGGAGTCCATGTGCACTATTAGTTTGGGATCAGGGTTTCCCAACGCTTTTATGTGGACCCTCCATGTCCGCCAACCCAGATAAAGCTTTAGACATTCGCCTTTCATTCTCTCAATTTCGCAAACAACATCTTCGCCGCGAAAAGGCAGTAAGTGGAACTTCGTTTGGTGTCTGTACACGCGTGGCCATGTGAGAAAATTTTGAGAGGGAGAGCTGACTCTCCCCACCCTTGCTCATACAAGGGTATTCGGAGACACTATGGTATTTTCTCATTTGCGTATAAATCTTTCGCCTTTTACTATGTTGAGATGAGATGGTGGTTGAAGGTAGTCGATAGGAAACCCTAGACCTAGGTTTCGTACTATTTGGCACTCGTTAGCAAGCTGTACATGTAATCTTGAGGGAACATCCCACCTCTTCCATAGCTTCTCCATCCAATGTAAGGGATATCTCACAACAATTTCTCTGTTATTTTGATGTCCAATGTTGAAATAGTAGAAAATCTTCATTAAATTGTGTTTTCAAAAGTTTTCTCAATTTTGTGACCCTTTCTACTCTCCTTTTCTAGCTGATTCAAACCAACCAACCGGATCTTGTGTTGTTCGTTGGTGAAGCGTTGGTTGGTAATGAAGCAGTTGATCAATTAGTTAAATTCAATCAATCACTTGCAGATCATAGCTATTCTGATCGCCCTAGGTGCATTGATGGCATTGTATTGACTAAATTCGACACAATTGATGATAAGGTATTGAAAAATGTATTTTAATAGACATTTTCTTATCCTTGATCTCATGGAGATATAATATGAATTCAAATAAATTAAGGAATGCATGAATGGTAGAGAGTGTAATAAAACGTTAATTTGAGGTACCATTATTCTCTATTGAAATTAAAAATGTCTAATGTTAATTGAAAGAACAGAAATCAGTTAGGAAAAATAAAAGGTGAATACATTTACACACTTGTTCTCAGTTTTGACTTATATAGATGGTACACTTTTATCCGTTGAATATAACCTTTAATTACTATCCTTAAATCTCTCCAATAAAAAGAATGATTTAGAATCCAAAATTGCCAGTAGCGGTTTGTGGTCTGTTAGTAACGTAAACTTTCTACCGAATAGCATTTCGTGAAACTTTTTTACAGAAAAGATCATGGAAAGGGCTTCCTTCTCTATATGACTATAGTTCCTTTCTATTGTTGTCAGTGATCGTGCAGTGTGGTCAATCGCTCTCTCACATCCATCAGGGTAGATATGTGAAATCACTGCCCCAATTCCGTAATTTGATGCATCTGTTGCGACCACAATAGGAAGGGCCGGATCACAGTGCGTAAGTAGAAGATTTGATGATAGGAGTTGTTTTAGGAATGCTTTTTGATATTCTTTATTAATAAACAATTCAGAGGGGCACGCAGATGATGAAGTTCAGGAAGAAAAGTTCCGTAATGACTAACCAATCCCAAGAAATATCGTAGAGTAGGGATATCCTTAGATCTAGGTATAGTTTTTATAGCTTCGATATCCTCTGCGTCTGGTCTTCTCTCATCTTTATCTCTTATGAAACTAAGGAGTCGCACCTGCTGTATATAACAATCACACTTTTCAGCGCGGAGGATGATATCATAATCATGAGAGCAGGAAAAATGGACTTGCAGAAGACTCTTGACCAGGTGCTAGCACACAGGTGAAGCTCTAAGAAAATTGGAAAAAGCCGAAGACATTTCACGTAATCATCTTTTGGAAGAACATCCCAAAATCTTGACGTGTAGCTTCCTGATTGATCAAATACTAGAAACCACTGCACACAGATTGAATGGCTGTAATGATGACATCGTTTTTACTAAAAATTATAAATACTTGAGAGTTTTGTACCATATTTGACGCTGTTTGTAATAACATTCCTTCTCGCTTGCGATTTGGAGGATTCTAGCGTTCGTGTGCTCAAGTGGTAAGCGGTATAGCAAGAATCTTAGATCTAGATATAACATACCCTTAGTAGTAAAACACCTGGTTAAATCACACCGCTATTCTGAATTAATGACATCATGTTGAACATGATTACTAACTAGATCCATCTATGCAATATTGATGAAAAATGTGTTATATTTCTATTGTTTGCTTTATATGCACGTTGAAGTGTTTTTGTATATAATAGTACAATTTTATTACTAATTATTTATGTACACATGTACCAATTTCCACATTACATTTGACTGAGTTATTATTCATCCTTTGAACGAACTAATTCATTCCGCAATATTTGTTTTTTTCAGGTTGGAGCTGCTATTTCTATGGCATGTATTTCAAATCAACCTATTGTATTTGTTGGTACAGGTCAAACTTATTCTGATCTTCGTCAATTATCAGTAAATGCTGTTGTTAAAGCTTTAATGAAATAAATTACTTTCATATACTTTAACCAATATTTGTCAATGGTAATTGTCAGCAATATCATTGTGTGTGTATGTTATTTGATTGATTTTGTTTGTTTGTTTGTTTTTCTTCTTTTTTCTGATCCCATATTTTATGATTTCATGTCTTGAATGATTTTTTTCCTTTCTTTTTTTCTCTTGAATTCCCCCCCACACACATTCATGGATTACTTTCAAAAGAGAGAATACACTGGACAAAATGTTCTTTTCGCCCGCTTCATTTTTCTTCATAACCATTATTTAGTAAATGAAATTACAATGTTTAGCCTATCTTTTATTCAATGTCATATTACTAATAAAGATGAATAAGTAGTATTAACGGTTTTATTTCTAATTTTCTTTACCATTCTATTGTTGTGTGTATATGAGCTGAGCGAGAAAGGGGGAGAGAAGGAAGATACATATTATTGTTCATTGTGTATGTTCCCTTTATTATTTCCTATTTTCTATTTATGTATTGTATGATTCTGTTGTTATTTTTTTCCATTAATGTTTATGTGATATATACAAATATATACATTCTGTTCATTGGTGTCCCTGTATGAATGTATTTTTATAGATTAAATATACAAACCTTGAAAGTTCTTTTCTTTTTTCTTCTATGGTGAATAGTACTTGTATCATATTAATTTTATGTACTAACTTCATGTTATTCAACTTAAATTGTTCTATTCATTCCTCTATATCTTCTTGAAATTTATCTTTTCTGTCATAAACATAAAATAAAAGAGCCGATTAAGATTCGTTTTTTCTTGATCCCATAGTTAACCATAGGTGTTTGATTTATGGGTATTTAGTTAGTACTTTGATGTGTTTTGACTTAGTTACATGTTTAAATCTGTTTTATATCTATGTAAGTTGTAATTGTTGAGTTATATCATTTGTAATCATAAATACACAAGTAAATAATATCTGATTAAATGTGATTGTAGTCGGATACAAAGATTCCAATATAAATAGTTGCTACCATGTAATGATAGCTATACTTGCACTATGTTTTACATTACCACTTAATGAAAAGTAATGCAGTTTCAATCGAATCATATGATGAAACAATTTCTCAGTTTGAATATGTTGCCAACAGCACAATTTTATTTCTAATAGATAACCTATCTATAAGTTGAAACTTCGAAGTACATGTATTGATGAATACTTTTTTATCCATAATGAATTCGGTAGACATGGGAAATTTATCTGTTCTTGTTTGGCTGGTATTGATTGTTGCTTTCTTCCTCCATTTTAAATCTTATCCAGTGTATCGACAGTGATCCATTTCTTGTGACCCAGAATTTCACATGTTGAAGTGATTTCTTCCTTGATCCCTTTCCAGTTGTTCTCCATGGTAGTTCTCTCTCCATTAAGTAGATTATGAAAGGCTTGGAAACCTATTGCTGAGGGTTATCTTGAATTCGTTAGGTCTGTCAGTATTCCGAAGAAAGGCCGTATTAAACTTTTATGATGTCGTCCGTCCCATTGTCCAGTGCTTCATCTTGGCGACCAGCAAGTGATGATCTGATGCTATTTCAGCTTCTCTCTTGGTTCTCAAGTCCTCCATCGTCCTCCTGAACATTTTGTTGATGCAGATATGGTCGATTTAGTTCTGTGTAATGTGATTCGGTGAAGTCCATGAGGTTTTGTGGATGCGTTTATGTGGGAATATAGCGCCGCCTATGACCAGTTTATTAAAGGCACATAGATTTGCAAATCTCTCACCATTTCCATTCCTTTCTCCCAGTCATTCCCTGTCGTCCCATGATGTCTTCATATCCCGTGTTGTCCATTCCAACCTTGGCATTTAAATCTCTCATCAGAATGGTCAAGTTCTTTATTGGGCATTTCTCAACAATTGACTTCAGTCTATTTTATAATTGATCTTTAATGTCTTCATTGTTATCGTTAGTAGGCACATTGCATTGGATGACGTTCCTTGTAATGCCCTCTTTCTTTGTTTTGAAGGATGCTTTTATGATGCCTGGTCCATTTTGTGCTTGTTTGGGCAGCATCAAAGCAACTCCTTGTGTATGTGAAGCATTTCTTTCTTCGTGACCAGAGTATAACAGAAGCTCCCCTGAAGCTAGTCGTTGTTGTCCAACCTGCGTCCAATGTGTTTCACTGATTTCGAACACCTCCAGGTTGTATCTGTTCATTTTTGCAGCAATTTGGAAAACTCTCCCACATTGTACGAGCACTCTATGTACCTAAATAAATGGTTGCTCTGGTTGTCAGATGGGTCATCAGCCTCGTGGCTTCCGAAGGAACTTGGCTTTCACCATGAGGCGTCATAACTCTTTTAAATGAAGACCTCCTGACTTTCAGGGCAGATTTTAAATGATTTGAATATTTTTTTCTCGTTAGCGTTTTTTTAGCGAGTTAGTTTCCTACGGGATGAGGTCGCTAACCTCATCCCTAACCTTCCTCCTTTATTCGGGCTTGGGACCGGCAGTGGCTCTAAAGGGGCTCCAGGCGGAGTTCTGAAGTTGAACACCAGAGTAATAATTCAGAAGATATTCCCTGCTCTATATATGTCTCAATCATTGATGTATAAGAGGCTTAATGTAAATTAGATGGCATGGAATTATTTTCCTTTAGTTAGTTATGCATTCTTTATCGGCTATTTAAATCATTGTTGCCGAGTCATTTATCGACAATGTTCACCACATGATATGATTGTTAATCTGTCCAGATTATCATAACAGGAGAGGAAGTATACAAATTGATAAACAGGATTATGGTAGAAACAATATTCATAGTACTTTATTTCGAAAGAAACGGGAGATTATAATTTCGGAATTATAGTAAGGGAGAGAAAGAAAGGATTTGCCGGTTCACAATTACTAGTCTTTTCAACTGTTATCTTTATTTATCGATTATGATTATCACACTAAACACAAAAATTGATCATTCTCAGACAACGGTTAGATAATAGTTCAATTAATAGTTGCTTATATATTTGGGTGGAGAAGAGGTTGCAAATGTGGCATTTTAAATCCAAATGACATGTTTGATTTTACTGTAACAATTTACCTACTTATACAATTTGTAGGTAGTATAAATTCGTTTCCAAAAATCAAACAGATTTTAGGTCCATCGAGCATGTCAGATTTATGGTGATTATATAGAACCTTGTGATAAACAATGTTAATGATATCTTTACAAATCGGTGCGTCGAGAGATAGTTCCATGATCTATTTGTCCTAGACGTATCCTTCTAGTAGATTTTACCTTTTGTCGACTACATCAACTACCTGCCCCCAAACGCCCTGGTACGGCCGAGAGTGGGGAGAGTCCGCTCTCTCTCTCTCGAAATACTCTCACATGGTCACGCGTATATAGCCTCTGCCAAGGAAGTTCTACTCACTGCCTTCACGTGGCGGAGGTGTTGTTTACGAAAATGAGAGGACGAAAAGCGAATTTCCGGCGCTATAACTGGATCCCAAATCAATGGTTCACATGGGCTCCAGTATCCTGAAGGAACAAATGGCGTATGAACCAATCGTTGGTCACCGGCTACCATGGGACTGCATCTCCTTACGATGCTCCACTGCCTTTTGGATCAGACGTTTAGGTCGAAGGCTCGGTCCTGGACCCCTAAGTAAACCACCTGCTTCGGTCTGGGCATCCGGGCAGTATCACAGCCCTCACACATATCAAATGAGATTTGTGTGGCGCATATGTATTCGGTGCCTTCTTGTACCAATATCTATGTGTTAAAATAATAATAACATCAACTACCTCGTAACATACTGGATTCCGTGGATAGATTTCACTCTAAATCCCATCGATTTCCACAAAGAATTATCTAACTGGATGCAAATTTCACCATCACTTTCGACAGTATATATTAATGGTTCCTAATTTCTGAACCAAAGTAAATTCAGTCTAAAAAGCTCATGAAATCATTCATTTAACTTGATTATCAATTAAAAAAACAAGAATTTTTAATTTTGATACACATATGTGCCTTGAAACACTGAATTGACTAAACTTCTTGCTTTTGACAACAAAATGAAGAAGAAATTTTATCTAGACAAAGGCCAGGTTTTCACAGGTAGTATACAACTACAAATCTACCAGGAATGTAACCATGGACCTAGAGAATTAGTGGCGAGTGCGTTGCATGTTGACAATCATTAAGTTGATATTCAATAGCTCACATAATCTCTTCCTTTCAGTAGTCTAACGAGAATTCTTTTTTTTTTGGTTGTATCTTTTTTGAAGGAAAATATTGTTCATATACGGCAAATAACCAAAAAATACAAAAGGATCTAGTGATAAACTGTGAATTCATCCTTGTCAACAGTCATTATCTTCTCATGAAGCGGTACTGCGTCTTGTTCACGCTATTTTTATTAAAATTTCACAAAACACTTCAGGGTAGACTGTGATCATATGAATTGGAGTGATTGATCGATTAATTGATATAATTTAATTATAGATTGCTTTGGTCATTATTGTAATTGATAGTTTACATCACAAGCTGATATTAGTTAAACAATCAATGAAAACCAGGAATCACTGAAAAGCCTTGAACACCCATAATTGACGAGTCTTATAATAGAACAAAACAGTTGTCTAGTGATTCTTGGTTGTCTAAATAAAATCAGTTCATGAAGTAAACTATAAGATTTAGTTATTTGCCACCAAATCAAGATTAACAGGGTTTACAAAATAACATTAACTGAACATTTTGTTCTAGCATTACTCGTCAATTGATCACAAAAAGCAGTTTATAAAGAATAATACTGAACTACAATTGTCCATGGTGTTTTAGGTGATTGAACAGAAGGTTATCATTAGAATAGGAAGAGTGCATAGATTTTCTTATGTTATTCTAATTTAGGGTGATGCATATTTATAGGTTAAAAAAGGTCATCTAAATTAGGGAGGAAAGTAAGATCATAAGTTCTAATGATCAAAGTAAAATCAGTCAGCAGCAACGTAGAACTTCGTACGTACGTACATCAGTTCGAGTTGCCATATCACATTAGCACAGAGATTCAGTTATCGATTCAAATCCCGTAGTGGTAGAGGTAGTGAAAGTATAAGTAGTAATGGGGAACATTAGGGTTTGATGTTATTCAAGGAGTATAATCCAGTGAAATAAATTTGGAAAGAAAATAAAGGACATGAAGCATTCAGATTAAAATTCGGGAGAACACAAAGAGTGGATGCACCTGCTCCATTGCAGACGATTTTCAGCCATGTCATTCAAAATATCTAACTATCGGTTGCTATCTCCTCGAGGATCACAACCAGATAGTTTACACCTATCAACATGGCTCAGTCCATTTGTCAATGACTTCATGGATTTGTGCTATGTTTTGGTCTGGCCGCCCCTAACCTTCTTCCAACCTATTCCCACACATCAAAACATCGCACGTCAGGACAGTCGGTGGTTGGGCATAAGTAACACGTGTCCCAACCATCTCAACTGACGAAGTTTCACTACTTCATCAATTGATATTCCATCCTTACCTAATACCCGTTTACCAACAACTGCATTAGTTACTCAGTTGTCCCAGAATATACGGGCAATGCTTCGAAGACACCTATGATCGATTACTAGTAACTTACGAATATCCACTACTCTTACCGGCCATGATTCACAGCCAATAAAATAGGACGAAACGAACTGCTGCGCAGTAAACCCGTCCTTTGGTTGGTACACGGATATTTCGCAGTATTGTCATCAACAAATATAATGAAGATCAAAATTAATTTGATCATTTACATTACTTAAAGGAAATAACCTGCAAAGCAGCGTAGTTGTGACACTTTTGTTTATGCATAATAATTTGAAGATATTCACGATCACAATTTTGAGAACTCCATTTTTACATAGTTGCAGAATTTAAACAGAAAATTAATAAAATTTATATTGTTAACGCATAAAAAAAAATTTGGGGAATCAAGCCAAAGAATATCGTTTATTTGTCTTAACCTAAGTGATGTAGTGGTCTTGCTTCGTTAATCAATCACCTTGATAACTGTTATGATATAAATCCCAACGGTGTTTGAATTCAGAAGGCAATAAGAAGCGGCGATTACAGTTTATCTGTCGATAGCAAAGATAACAAAGCTACAAGCACATCGAGTGAGTTGAAATAAAGAGGTTAGCATATGTTTGAGC